GCTCTGCACAACTCCTTGGAAAGCCCACACCTAACTCAGGTGGGCCCTGGGGAGCCCAAGGCACAGCACCGCAAGCCAATTCCAGAGCTGATTTCCACCAGTGCCTTCCAGCAAGGTGGTGTCCCAGAATGATTTTCTCCTCTGCCATCCTTTTGAAGGTTTTATGTTTGCAAAAAAAAAGGGAAAGCAAATACTTTATAGCACAGAGCCTGAAGTCTGTGACATTGCCATCTGAAGCCCTCCCCAAGCAGCCAACGGAGGATCGGGCTCCTAATAAAGACCTGGCAGCTCCTCCCATTTCATCTCAGTGCTCACAGGGATGCTTTGGGGGGGCTCAGGCAAGCAAAGCACAGGTTGCTCGTACCTTCCTACAGCCCTGGAGGCTGAGCTCCTTGGCTCAACCTTCCCACGTGCTCTGTCAGCACCCATCAGTTCCACGATTTGGTAGGACTTTACTTGATTTCTTGTCTTCTAGTCAAACAAAAGAGCGCGTCCATTTGCTTGGGCAGCTATTGTCTAAAACCGAGCAGGTATGTCCCTGTTTGATGAACAAACCATGCTCACCCACCTGGAAAGCCTTTTCCTTCCAAGGCATTGTCCCTGCACGGCCAGGCACTGCCTGCCAGCAGCAGCATTGGCCAGGAGCTGCCTTGTGCTTATCGGCTTTGCCTTCGGGAAGCACCTCCTGGTGCAGAGCTTTAACTTAAACAGCCACAAAGGTGAGAGCTCTTTGGATATTCCGCCAGGATGAGGATTAAAACCTTTCTGTAGGCAGTCTACATCCCAAAGCCACAGCAGGACTAAGCTGGAAGGGCCAAATTCAGCATGATTTACAAATAAACATTTCTGACCAATCTCAGCTCTTTTGGCAGCAGATGCCACAGACTGCAGGGCACTAAGGGCACCCAGCTACCTCCCAGCTGCTAAAAGCGTCTTGTGACCTCCCAGTCCCTACTTCAGGTCTTCTAGATGAGAAGGCGAAAGCTCATGAGGAAACATGAATAAGCAAGTAAATAAATAAACAGGCAGCCCCGAAGCCTGCTCATATCAATCCTCGGAGGGCCGTGCAGGATGCTCGGGCACCTGGTACCATTACCTGCACCGCTCAGCAATGCCTCCTGCTGAGTCAGGACCAGCCTTGACGTGGGCAGAACCCTCTGCGTTTCTGTTCTTCTCCCCTGCTTTCCTCTCCTCTCCCAGAGCATCTTCCAAAGGAATGAGCTGAATCAGTGGATTTCCTTTTCTCCTGACCCATTTCCCAGGTATTTTTTCATCTGTTTCTTGCATCCAGCCTGACCAGCTCACTGCTCTCCTCCTCCTTGACTAACCCTTTTCATTCTTCCTTAAATACCCCTTTCTAAACAGGACACAGCTGCACCCCATAGACCAAACCTGTGGCAATCCAGTTACAGCACGGCTGTTTCAACTCAGCCCTGGCTCTGAGGGTTTATGTCAGGGAGAAATTCACATGGCAAGGCCCACGAAGTATGTTTTATGCACATTTAAACATACACACGAGATGCCCAGGCTCTTGGCCAAAAGCATATTCTACCTAAAACATATCCTAATCTGGTCCGTGCCCATCCAGAAAGGCTGGCTGCAGACCGCTGTAATCTTTGTTTAAACTGTGCTTGTTCCATGCAGTTTATTTGCTCTGGGCACACGATGTCTTTGTTTTCCTTCCATGTCCTTATGCAGCCCTCATGTAGAGCATACCTGGAAGAAATTATCCCCTGGGAGGCCCAGAAAGCTTGGAGTGTCCCCTCAAGCGGCTTTGTCTCCATGCAGCAGTCGGGAGACTCTTCTTGCTTCCTCCTGCCTCTTTGTCACTGCTTTAAACCTGCCTAAAAGTTCGTATTTTCTAAAGACAGAAAGGCTGCCTTGGGTTTTGCTTCCGAGTTTGCTCACCTTGCAGCCAGAACGAAGAGCGCGTGGCTGAACGTCGCGCTGCACAGCTCCGTGCCCAGCCACGCTCCCTGCCTTTTCGTGCAGCTTTCACCAAATTCACTTCATCCTTATTCCTACCATTCTTTAACATGGTCAGCACGAAACACCTCTCAAACGTCCTTGCAGACGGGGCTGGTTTAATTGCGCTGACAGCAGCTGGATGGGCACCGAGTTTCTCCACCCTGAGCTGCATCACAGCGTGCTGTAACACCCCCAGCCTCTTATCTATTTCTCACTCACCTCCCTCAAGATATCGAGTGGCAACAAAGGGAAGGAAAATCCCTTTCCTCCCTGGAACTCCTTTTTATTCCACTATTTCTTTCTGTGCTGTGCCCCAGTTCCGTGGTGCTGAGCTCCTGGGACTCGCTGAAATCCGGGCTTTCACCTCGTGCTCACAGTTTCAGAACTTGACAGGCTCGTCTTGAACAACTTTAACACATTTCAGCAAATTATTCAATGAACAGTCCGTCCATGCAAGGGAATTCTACCTCGAACAGGCAATTTTAAAGGAAGGGTAGGTATAAACAAAACCTCGAAGCCAGTGTTATCTTCAAAGCTCGAAAGGGAAGGGAGCAAAGCAGCTGGCAAGCCAAGGAGAGATCCTAATCTCCCCTTTCAGGACAATTCCCCTATCTCAAGATTTGGGTTCTCTGCACTGAATGCCTTGTGCCCAATTACACCCAATTACGTGCCTTTATCCAGGGCAACACAGCCAACAAACCCAATAATCCAGGTACCCCCTGACAGCTTGGATAGGAAGATCAAAGGCACGACAAAGAGGCAGGTCCATTCAGACGGCAGCTCTCGGACCTTCTTGATTTTGTGGCCAAGGGGGGATTCATACAGGTGTGGTGCATCATTACGATTCCCTGGCCTGGGTTTGGGGTGACCTGTGCAACTGCCCGGCGCTGAATTACGCAGGTCACTGAGAAGGAAGGTCAGCCAAAGCTTTCTGCCACCCCACGATGTATTTCAGACCCTCCAGATGTTTTACAGAGCTGCGATGGCAACTTTGGTCGCTTAAATATATATAACTTTTTTTTTTCTGGACTAAACAAAGAACCCAGAAATTATTCCCTTTGCTTCATAGCACAACATGGGTTGTCTTCTTCTGAAACAGCCAGATGGGCACAGCTCCTGACAGCTGGACTAACCACACACAGCAGCACAACTTGTGCCCCCAGGGGAACCACCGATGTTCCCACCAGGCCAGAGCGAAGCCGAAGGGAGCAAACGGGCTGGGGGAGCCCAGGAGGTGTATTTGCTTTCCTAAAAGACAGAGCATTATTTTATTCTGTGCATCACAGCTTCAGAAATATTTCCTTTTAAGATGGGGATTCTCATTTCCAAAGGTGTTTGCACCCTCAGGCTGCAGCTGTATTAACCTGCAGGAGCGTTGTTCATATGGCTATTAATTAAGGCTCGTGGCAGCACTTCCATTACAAACCTCTGCCTTTCAGGAGTTTATAACTCAGCCATAAAACTTTGCTCCAGGCTGAAATTTATCATGAAAGGGTCTGCCTGGAAGGAATCCATTCTTTTGTATTTTCGAATCCCAAAAGCTTACAGCAACAAAACAGAGATTTTACTCTAAAGGCCGCCATGCAAAAAAAAACAAAAAAAAAACCCTTTCAGCTGCTTTTTTTACAGGGGTGCTGGGTGAGCTGAGCCTTCTAGACTGGCTCCTTGATGCTTACTGAGCAGGGTGGGGTTTTTATATGCTTAACATTGAGGATTTAGGAATTATGGGGTTTTGTGCTTAAGGGCCAAAGTCTGTGCTTACCCAAATACCAGCGAATCCTCGCCTCTGCCCTCGCCCATTCCCCACTGGCACACGAACCAGCAGCAGAGCCTGGGCTGCTCTGGGCCCTACCTCCTCCTGCTGTGTCCCTGGAAGCTTCACAGCTGCACAGATCTTTTTTTGTTGTTGTTGTTTTAGAAAACAAGCAGCACCTGCCAGGCTCAACCTTTTCGCCCAAATGGGGCGACCGAGTTTAGAACGGGAATTTCAAAATTCCAGTTTTCTTTTTCAAATGCAGAGACCAGTATCCTCAGCTAGATTTTTTAAAGCATTAGAGAAGTTGATGACCTACCGGCAACACAGAAAACGCACTATTGAACACAATGCCCAGAGCAACACCTGACCACATCAGAGGTCACAATGCAATTTTAACATTTGTAACTGGATATCTCTGATTCAGGAACTTGCACCTTGTTGGGGCATCTGCTACTGCAGGAAACCAGCCCTCAAAACCAACAGAGAGGATTGGTTTGGCAATCCTTCTGCTCTTACAATTCCGATTTCAATGTGATTTCTTTTACTTATGCTTCATAAAATACTCATTTTTTTCAATGCCCGCTTTCTCCCAAGTTCCCACATAAATACTCTTGCACCGCATTTTGCAGCTGCAGCTCGGCCAGCTCAGCCTTCACCCTGCAAAAAGCAGAGTCCTGATGGCTCCAGGAGTTTCTCCTCTGTGCATAGCAGCTGGATGCCTTCAGATGTCATTTTTCCAGGAGCAGGGTGTCTCAGCGTTACCATATTGTTATCCAAGCACTGCCATGCAGTGATTTTGCTCCCTGCAGCCACAGGCCCACCTTTTAAAGCTGCAATGCTTTAAGCTAAGTTTCTGAGCGACTCGGGAGCATCCTTGGCCTTCAGTGAGCCTTTTGTGCAAAGGATCACTTCTGCAAATGAGCTGCAGCCTCTCGTATCAGCTGTGAAATTGTACATTGGGGCCACCCCAATCCCACATTCTTCCAAAAAGGGACTAGAGCAAGCATATATCAAACACAAGGCTAATTTCTTTACAAGGCTAATCAACTCTCCCTTCCAGCACAGAAGTGTTTCCCCCCAAAGACAACTTTCCCCCAAATAAAAGAACAAAAGGAAGGGTATTTGGGAAGGGGAGAAAAAGGAAGAAAGGAGTAAGAGAAACCCCCCCCAGCACCGACAGTCAGAAATGTTCATTTACAGCTGACAGCATCCACACGCCAGGAACATAGCAGAAACTCTTCGCCTACCATACAAAGAGGGTGCCCCAAAATGGTACCTGCAAGAGGTCTCTCGGAAGGAGATGTTTAAATCCCAGTGGGTGTGTATCCTGTTAACAAACAAACAGAGAGGTCAATGGCACAGGCTGAACGCTGCATCTCTTTGCCATTTTAAGAGCAGCTCCATCACGACCACCCACCCGCGCTCCTCTCGGGCTCCCAACCCTTCTGCCACAGCCTGCGAGGGGCTCAGCTCCCCCAGCAGGTCTCCCAGAGCCGTAAATGAGACCCGCAGGTGAGCTCCCTGCCAGGCACAGGGGCTGCAAGATGCTGTCTCAACCGAGAGGGCACGTTCAGAGGGAGCAGGAAGGGCTAAGCGGTGACATTTCATGAAGAGAACCCAAATACGGCCGCTCTGCGTTCCCTCCTCCGCGCCCGCCCCAGCTGTAAATAAATTATTAGCAATTTCCCACCTCGGAAATTAATTTCACATACTCTGTCACTCTGCCTGCTGACAAGCAGGAAAAGCAGAGCCGAGATGAACAACATCCTAAATGAAGGCAGGGCAGCCAAGGGGGCTGGGTTTTGTCATTTACTCTTTTTTTTTTGATTTTTTTTTTTATTTTTTTGATTTTTTTTCCCTCTTTGCTACCCTTTCCAACGGGACAGCATCCGCACCGACCCGGAGGGCTAAGGCAGACGTTGAGACCTTCTGTGGTCCAGCGTCTCCACCGGATAGCAGGGGCAGAACCTCCGAGGAGGGCTGTGCCCACCGGCGGCTCTCGGCGGTGCCGTGATTGATGAGGAGCCCAGCCAGCTGAGACCGAAGCCGCACGCGAGCCCAGCTCCTCGCACGATGCTGCTCCCTCTCAGCATCTGCCTGCGAGCCTGCAGCTCGGCTCCTGCAGCCCCGGCTTCCCAAAAGCACTGAAGAGCAGCGCCGGCAAACATCACACGCGGCGAGGCCAAATGGGTTTTTGCGCATTTTGAGCGTCCCCGCGGCGCTCCTGCCCCTGTCCCCAGCTGGAGGAAGCAGCCGCGTGTGGCTGAAGAGTCCAGGAAAAGCCTGATCCAAAGGACTGCCGAGGCAAAAGGGCCCCGTTCTGGTTTGAATGTGCCCTGAATCGGGCCAGCAAGCACTTAAGCATGAGCGGGGAAGTCAATGGGACGGAACCCAGGGCTGAGTGGCTGCTCAAGTGTTTTCCTGCCCGGGTGCCCCTGCTGCAGCCTGGTTCAGAAATCAGCTGCGAGCAATGCTCAGCACGGCAATAATCCCACAGCCGAGGCACGGGGCTGTACTCACACGGGGTTTTACTAACACCATCCCTGTCCTCTGTGCTCTCCCTGCAGGACCTGTGCTCTCCGAGTGGTTCTTTCAGGGGTGAGTACTTCTTTTAGGGGGTTGTTAGATTTTATTAGATATTAAGTTCCAGCAATAAAGCTGTGCTCAGAACTGTACTTATTAGTTCCACGTGTACCTCGCTTTTCCTATTCTACCCTTTCCTCATATGCAACGGTTTAGAAAACCTACCCCAGCTTTCCCCCTTCCCAGCTTTCCATCTTCCCAGCTTTTTATTTGCAAACAGAAGTGGCAAAAGGCGAATCCCAGCTCCTGAGCCTACAGCAGGTAACGATTGTTCTTCGAAGTTAAAATTCAGCCAACATTGGAGAACTTCGGGGAAAGCAAAGGCCAAATGGGGGCACTGAGTAACATCTCCATGAGCAGATCTTGGTCCGACTGGGACACGTTTGGACTTCCCAGGTAAGCTGATGTGAATCCAAAGCAAACTGAAGCCAGCCCAAGCCCTCCTGGTCCTTCTGGCACAGAACAGAGTGCGCATGGTGGGGGTGGGAAGCCTGATTTTGCACTGCTCCATAAAATCCCTGACTTCTTGCACACACAGACCTCCAGGAGACCCCTTTAATTGCAGCTCAGCACCTTGCACGAGGCCGCTCAGACCCCAGCAGCTGCACTGTGGAAGTGGGGAGAGCTCCAAACACTGCCCAGCCACCAACTGCTGGTAAAGGGAGCCTGAAAAGGGCCCTCGTGCTTCTCCTGTCTCCGTCTATAAAACATCCCTCGGTGCTCTCAAAAAATAAAAGGCAAGAGAAAAGGGACAATCATCCCGCCGGAGGGTTTGGCCCTGAGCTATAGGTAGGCTAAACACCATGCTTGTCTAGCTAAAACTCCACGGTCCCTTTCCAGATTAAAAAAAAATGCCGATTTGGAAAAGCAGCAAGCACCGTTTGGGGTCCAGCAGTGGGTCACGGGGTGCTCAGGGGTCCCGGTCCACCAGCGAGCTCCACAAAACACAGCTCCTCGTGGTCTGCAGCAGGCTGGATGGAGCCCAGCGGTGCTGAGCACCGGGGGAAGGCAGGGCTCCTAATGAGGCTTCGCCCAGCTCAGCTTCAAAGCGTAAGGACGCGGCTTCAGAGAGCGGTAAGTGGCAGGGAGGGACGGGCTGGTAGGAAAGGCAGAGCTCAGATCCACGCAGAGACAGCTATCTGCCGAGATGGATAATTAAACACCCATATTTAGACAAATGAATAGGTGAGAATGAAATTAAATCCTAATTATCTTTTTTTTTTGGGGGGGTGGAGGGAGGGACGGGGAGCAGAACCAAGCACTCCTTCCACGTCCCTGCGCCGTTATCACCAATTAGATTGCTGAGGCTAATGTACATTTTGCTTTAACGGGTTATTCATCCAATTGAAATCAAATTACTAATAATTTGCAAGCTATCAGCTGCACAAGCCCGTCCTTGGGTCGTATAGAGAATGGTGAGCGGGAGATGGTTCCCTACAAATTAATAACAGAAAAGGAGGGGGGGGGAAATTAAAAACAGGCAGGCAGGGCGGCCGCTTCCAGCTCTCCCAGCTCTTCACCATCCCAAGATTTCAGGGGTAGTGTGGTCAGGTAGAAGGAATCCAGCACAAAAATGCCCCGATGGGTCCTGTGGCAGCAGGAACCCATCGAAGGCAGGGCCAAGGCACTCGGAGGGTGTAAGCAGGAGGTTCACAAACCTCTGGGTCGGGCACCCCAGCAAGGAGGGACCTGAGTGTCAGGGCTCGGTCTGTACCAAGAGTGAAATCACTCATAAACGTACGTGAAACCCAAAAAAAAGGGATTTAACAGGAAGGGCTGAGGCTGCTCGAGTCATCTCTGGAGCCTGCACAGGAATGAGAAGCCAACCCAGGAAAGAAAGCGACAGAGCTGGCAAAATACGGGAGAGCAGCTGGGATAGTTTTTAATTTTTAAGCTGTTTTTTTTTCCTTCCCTGTCATTTCTTTTTACTCTAGAGGCCCCTGCGGGCTTCCAGCACCGGCGTGGCGACCACGGAAGAGGCCAAGGGATGGAGCCAGGCGTCCCCTGCCACGCCAGGGCCAGCAGCAGCAGCCCCGTCCTGCAGCTGAGCCCCTGCCCCGCGGCCAGCTCGCTTTGTGCTGCTCCTTTTGGCTCTCCAAACGTTGTGGGAACGTGGAGAACGGCGGGCAGCATCCAGCTACAGCCACGGGTCCCCAACTGCCAGGAGAGAGAAAAATACTCCCAGGGCTTCCCCAGCTCCTCTGGTGGAGGGGAGCGGTGCACTGAAGGGGCAGTGCTGGGGAAAGGGGGCACTGAAAGCTCGTGCAGGCCATGAACGGGGCAGTTCACAGAATCACAGAATTTCTAGGTTGGAAGAGACCTCAAGATCATCATCAAGTTCTTCCAGGGAAGCAAGGCTGAGAGCTGGACTTGGGGCATCTCAGCCATTCCCTGCCATGGTCGGGATTTCATTCTCACACTTCACCTTTTTTTCCAGTCTCCTCTCTCTTTCTTGGGCATGAAGGGATTTCTTGCTCTATCTTCTATTTTATCCTGCAACATCCCTGACGAGCAACCGTTGTCCTTCTCTCCCCCCCGACCTCAAATATTCGTCCTCATTAGGTCAATGACATGCTTCCTGGCACTCTGGACCAAGTCCAGCCTTCGCTTCCCAGATGGATCTTTAATATATTTATTGAATACGGGGGCTGTTATTTAGTGGCGCATGGTTCAGAGGAAAAGAGAGCAAGGGGGAGGAAAGAGGAGGCAGAGAAAATAAAGGGCTGCAGAGGAAGGAAGAAGGGATTGGCTTTGACCTGCCAATTAGCAGAAAATAGCCAGTGGGGGCTGTGAAAGAAAAGTGTCCTAAAGCATTAAAATCTCTCTCCAGCTCTAAGAGGGGCCCTGGCCCCCTCCTTTTGAGTCACGGCAATTAGGAGGAGGGCTATCGGGTCTAATCTAGGAGCCTGATTCACGGCTGGAGCCCAGAGAGCATCCTGCTCTGCCCCGTGCCCGCTCTCCCTTTAGCCCTACACCTCCTGGACGAGCCCGATCCACCCAGCCCAGACCCCAGGGATTTTGGCAGCAGCTGTGGGCATCACGCCATCCACTGAGCTCCTCCGGGAGGGGGGCATCTCAAGGGTCTGCCCCCCAGGGCAGCACCAGGGGGGGAGTTTTGGGAAGGGACCAAGCAGGAGGAGGGCGGCAGAGGCGGTGCCGTGCACCCCGCACGTCACCGGGGAAGGCGCTGGGACCTCGTGGCCCTGAATGCCAAGCAGGTGCGTGCGGCAAATACAACGGGGGGGGCTCGGATTTGATCTCCAATCAATTAGGGAGTCAAAGAGCAGCAGCCTTATGGGATATTAGAGAGAGCTCTCCACTTAGGAAGGCAGGCGGGGGAGAGGCTGACAGCCGCGAGCCATTAGGGCCGAGCGGAGGGCAGCAATTTCGCCATCAGAAAATGGATGGGGAGCGAGAACGCTGAGAGAGGGGGGGGATGCTAGGGGCAGGGGGAGGTACCTTTCTCCAGAAACCTCCCCAGAGCACACACACGCATGCTGTTGCAGGACAACGTTTTGTTTTTCTCTTATTTCTCCTCAAAATCGCTTTTCTTTCAGAGCAATATTTGGCAAGGAAGCCAGCCCCTTGTGCGCTCTCGTTGTACAATCTGCTCCTACTTTTCCTCCCAATCCTCTTTTTTTTTTTTTTTAAATTAATGAACTTTAAAGGCATTTTCACCATACAGGTCCTTTTGTACCTTCTCCTGGCCATTACTTAGTCCAATGTCCATATTTCCTTAATATCCCATAAGGGTTCCTTCGATGCCTTTATGGTCAGTCAGATCAAAAACTTCAACCTCAGCTGAAGTTTTGCCTCAGTTGACAGCTTCAACCTCAACATGAAAAGCTCCCAGGCTTTTGCAGAGGTAATGCGTTTCCCAGTAACACCAGTCAGAGTTTCCCAATGAGTCTGAGGAAGTTAACACGGAATTTGTAGTCTCAAATCTCTCTACATTGCTTGATTTTGTGTCTCGGATAAAGCAGAGAGGGGAGAACTAAGCCACGGACAGGGATCACTTTTAGTTAGTAACTACACCAGTGACCGAGGTGCATCCATCAGTGCAGAAATGCCCTATATCGATATCATCCCTTTCACCATATAGGAAAAACCACCTTCGTAGCCAGCCAAGCATCCTCAGCAGGTGCCAGCCCAGCTGAACCTACCCAGTGATTAAGGCAACGCAAACGTTGCCCTAAGGAAGGTTGGACAGGAGCAAGATTTCTGGAGCCCAGGTTCTGATCAAAGGGAAAAGGCCGTTACCCTTCTGCAGCACTGTCCCAATAATCTCCAGAGCTTGTTCCCTGAGTGCTTACAGTCTGGGTATCAAGCTACGGTATCAAGCTCAGCAGACGCCTCTGGTTATATGAGACAAGATTTTAAGCCCCCTGTTTTCCAGACAGGAGGCGTACCACAAAGGCTGCTTAGCACACCCTGCAAAGCAGGCTCAGGAGGACTCAAGGGGTCTCACCACGAGCTGAGAAACGTCCCCCTCTAAGCCTGGGTCACCTGGATTTCAAAGCAGATGAGCTGAGCTCATTAGTGTGCCGAACTCGTCCCGCACGTGCAGGACAGCGCAGTGACACGGCTCTGCAAGGACTTGGTAGGGAAATAAGTTGGCACGCAATGAAAGGCACCGACTTCAACGCTGCAAGAACAGCACGAGGCAGGCTGTTAGTCCTCAGGACTCCTCTGAAGGCCATCAGCACAGGCAGATGCCTAAGGTCACGGGTGAAACAAGTGGCAAAGGCGAGGATGAGAGACTGAGCAAGAAACTGAGCTTCTGGCTCCTTTTCTAATCCCTTGGGCCTCTTCTTTACCGATGCCTAGACCTCAGAGCAGCAGGAAGCATCCCCTTGTGCCAATGATGGAAGGAAATGCTCAATATTAAGGAAATTGAGAACGGAGAAAAAAAAAAAAGAAAAGGCAACGACATCCACAGCAATAATGCCGCTGTTTATAACCATAAAATCAACGTGCGTGAGGGGTAGGAGAGGAAGCCACAGGTTTGCTCAGGCCCTGACCTTGTTTTCCTGCTATTAACCTATTTCTCCCTCTCAGTGGGAGGCGATAAAACCTCGGCCCAATCCAGCACCAGGCGGGGAGGACACAACAGGTGAATTAAAGGCAGGAGGCAGATGGGGCGCGGGCTCCGGCGGGCCCCAGCTGTCGTGTCTGCGAGCTGTCTGGCCTTCGTGCTGCTGCCTCCAGAGCCAGCCCCATCACACCTGCATCTTCCTCAGGCTGCTCCCCGTTCCTCGCCCTCCAACAATTGGGAACGGTCGGTGTTCCCCCACCACGAGAAGGGGGTGATTTAGTGGGACCGGCTATTTGCAGGGGGCAGAGCGCTTGGCAATGCCGAGGGATGGAGCTGTAGGTGTTCCCTGCCAGGGCAGCAGGAAAAAAAAAGAAAAGGCAACAACATCCTCCAAGGAATCGAGACAACGCTCAAGCAAAGGACCTTCAGAGAAGAGGACTCGAAGGAGTGCAGAACAGACGCGATAAGCTGGGGGACCGCTGCCTAATAACCACCGAGTATTTTTCTGTCTTCACTTCCTAATAAACAAGGCGAAGCAATTACAGTAATTAAAGATTTAGGATAAGAGCACTTTGTATTTTGGGGGCCCAGCGTATCAATTAAACGCTCGTTATGTTCTCCCTCCTAATGAGAAAAATCTCGCGCTGTAATTTTGCAGAATTAGGAGCATAATTAAAGGGGGGGTGGAGAAGAAGGGCACTTTCCCCAACCTGATGAGGAGGCTTCCCTCCCCTCCGCGCCTCCTGCCTGCACGGGCAGGGCCGATGCTGTCCCCAGCCACCTCTTCATTTCCGAGCGATAACCCTCGGCCACGGCCCTCGGACAGCTGCGATGATAAAGCCAGACTTTAATTACAGGTGGGTTTTATGAGGAGAGCCGGCTACGGTGCTGTCTCCCTACTTCCCAGCTCTCTGTTGCAGAATGTACCAGCGTCTGCTGGAAGGCAAGAGGGGAAATAGCTCATCTACTCAGGAGCGAGGAACACATAAAACATAAGAAAAGCAATTACATGCCTTCGGTTTCCACTCCTCTGTTTTTATAGGGCTTGTCTTAGGATCTGAGTGATTTTATGCATCAGAGAGAGATGACAATCAAGATGAGTTGCAATGATATGCATGGGAGGCTGAGACACATCACCTGTAGGTATTTATTCTCCTGTAGTTACAGGTCTTCTAAACACCATATTTCTTGTGAAGGAGAAGAGAACCCAAAATTTTGCAGCTGAGTATTATTGGCACTAAGGCCTGACACGAGAGCCCAGCTGACAGCTACTTGAATGTAACTTAGAGCAATCCCTCCTCCTCCTCCTCCTCTAACCCTGCGTGAGCTCCGGTGTGAACATCTCTGGTGCTGAGCAAGACGTAACCAAAATATTCAGTGTTGAGGTAACCCTGAGTGACTCTGCCTCCTGCAACTCCATTACATCTCCCGTTGTACCACGGAGGACCAGGCAGACGTGGCTGTGCTCTTTGACACGCCATCAAGAACACGTAACTACCACCATCACTGCTATCTCCACCCCAAACTTTGCTCACCAACATTAAATTATCCCGTTTCTATTACATCAGAACTTCTGGGCACACGAGAGAAGAAGACGAGCCTTTTGACCCAGTTAAGGGCCCACAGACGACTTCTTGCTCATGCAATTCATCGGCTCCCCAGGCACAAAGACACAGAGCGCTGGGCAGGGGATGGCACAAAAATCACCGTCTGCAAATGCAGATGCCTTTAGTGCAAACACAAGCCCCGTGGTACAAAGCCTCTTCAAACCCCAGCTGCCCCAAACAGGAGTCAGCAAGCACAGGAGAGGATCCAGCTCTTCCTGAGCTATAATGGGCCATTTGCACTTGAATTTCAAGCCCTGGAGGTGTCTCCATCGGGCTGCCCGGGCAGTGTTGGCCCAGAAAGGGTGGTCACCTGCTGCCCAGTGCGCTTTGTCTTTGCTCTTGTCATGCCAGCTCTCCCTGGCAGGAAAGTACCTTCTTTTCATGATACTGATATGGAGATCCTCCTCCTGCTTTACTTCGGGGTGTTGACCATTGCCCTTGTCGCTCTCTTCGCTGTCATCACTATGCGAGAAAATCGAGGTCAGCTCTTTCTTCGGGATCCTGGTGGGAGGCAGGGGGATCGTCCTCTTCTCTGCCAGGCGACCCCGGTTCTGCCACAGGGCGGAATCAGTTGCAGCAGGAAAGGGCAGGAGGGAAAAAGAAAAAAAAAAGGAGAATTTGGTTAGACAACCCAGAACCAAGAAGCTCCTCACAAATGGTTGTTCTGGACAATGTTGTCCAGAGCTCAAAAACACAGGTTTCACACTATGGTGGGTGGGCAAAGGCCACGCTCACTTTGCAAAGGACTTTTCAGCAGAGGCACGTCTCTCTCCAGCTCTTCCAGCTCCAACACTCAAGCCATGCACTTCCAGCCTCTCCCCACCTCTCCGTTCCTACTTTGGCTCTTTCACACCGACAGGAAAGGAAGATGGAGCTGTCAGGCTCCAGTCCTTCTCTCCAGAATATTTCCCAGCAGGATAGGTGAAACGCAACCTTTGGCAGCAGCACAGCAAAGATGTGACCCAGAGAATCCAGAACACTTCTGACTACAAAGGGAAAACCGCCTCTGCCAGCCACCAGGTTTGTCTCCCACACCAGTGAATACTCCACATCCCCCTATTTTTGATTACTGAGGCTACTTTTCACTGTTCATTTGCATGTGCAGAGCAATCTGGCAGCTCTTGCCTTGTCCCAGCTTCCCCTGGGAGGTCCTGGCAGCGTTTGGCCCCCAACAATTCACTTCTGACAAGACTCAAATAAACCAGAGAAAAACGCCCAGGGGGCAAAAGCCACTTTTTTTTTGCTGCCTGTGTGTTTGTGTGCGGAACCTAGCGCAACGTGACCCTGCTCCCAACCTCCTATCTTCCGCCAGCAGGGAGAACGTATGATAAATGACTCTGTTCCTGCACCCTCTGTGCCTGATGCACGAGAGGATTCGAGCCTGGGGCAGCCTAAATTGGAGCTCGTTGGGTTTTTAGCTCTCGCTGTGATAGCATCTTCCTGAGCTAAACACCCCAAGTCTTAATCTGTGATCGACTGAGACAGAGAGCTACAAGAGGAGCACTTGCAGTGGAAGACACTGGATTAGAAACCCAGGAAAAGAGCCCTCACCGACCCACAGAATTTAAAATATCAGCAAACAAAAGCATGAAACTTGGCAGGGAACTGCAGTGAGGGGAGGTAAAGCAGTTTTGCATACTCTGTGTGCTTTCTTCAAGAAGATGAGTGCTACAGAAGGAACGTGGTTTTAGGGAGGACTGGAACAAAACGGAGCAAGGTGTGTGAAACAGGTCAAGTGAGTGCAAGGCAGCGCTTAACTAACAACATCTTCTCTGCAACAGCAACTCCAACTTTCCAAATAAACCTGGCAAAATGGAAATGTGGTGGGAGAGCCAGTCAGGCTCTCTGAAGGGGAGCGCGGAGCACGGCTAAGTGACAGAAGAGCCCATGTTTTTTTAATTAAACAAATTAAGAACTTTCCACCAAGACGAAACGAAAACTTCTTGTTTACCTCTGTCAATAAATTTCCAGTTGTGGTCATTAAGGGGAGCCCTAATCGTTGTGATAATTAGCTAAATCCATCTGGAAGGCATCGCCCCAAGGAGGCACATTAGCTTTTCCATTCCGATGCGCTTCCAAGCCAAGAACTCAGCTGCCTGTGACCTGCAGACAGCCAGCGAGAGAGGAGCAGTGGGCCAAGCTGGCTTGAAAATGGGAAAAGTCATGTATAGGAGGAAAAAGACACCCTCTGAGCCGGATTTGTTGTTCATGAGGTTTCGTGCGCTTTGTTCGCGCGGCGTGAAGAAGAAAAGAGCATCCTTGGGAAAAGAGCAACAAGGTCAGTGCCCAGCCTCGGACACGGGGACACCATTCCTGTGGCTTCTGCTGGTGGCTCTCCAAGACCCAGCTGCAGCAGGTGAATCCCTACGGTGCCAGGGGTCAGTGCTACGTGACAGGGGGCTCCCTTGGACAGCAGTAGAGCCCCCCTCACCTTGCCCTTTGCAGAGATTTCTCGCTGCCTGCAGCCTGGGGTCGTGCCATGAATTGCGTCTCCCACCCCTAAACATTTTTTGCACACGTGGGCATCGCCGCCCCGGCCCCTTTTTCCTGCTCCTGTGCAAATGGGGAACACGCACAGAGCTCATCCCGTGCCTAAAGCTGCTCTGGGCTGCACGGTGTCCAAAGGACGGGGGGGGAGAAAAGGAGAGAAAGGGAAAACGGGAGGGGAGGAAGGGAAATGCAAAGAGAGGGCAGGATTTGCACCACGGTTCTGTCACGCTGAAAAGCCAGGACTTGATATCAGCACGAGCTTTATCACGCCAGAGCTTTATATATTTTCCTGAAGTTGCAATTTATCATAACAATTAAAGGGGGAGGGGAGGGCGGGTGTGCAAATTTCCGCTTCAAAATAATTGCAATTCGCTCTCTGCTGTGACTTTGCAGGCTAAAGAGAATAGCGCTGATCAGATACTAAAAATCATTTTATGGCCATTATGGTACCTTCAAGCAGTTACCGGGTCTCAGTGACTACCCAGGGACTCATCAGCCCTAACAAGAGCGAGAGTGCAGCAAAAAGGGAGGCACTAAAGCGAGAGAAACAGCCCACCGGACCCCGAGCACCAGTTCCCACTTTCCCCTGCTCCTTAAAATGCTTGTCCTTTGCCTTCCTAAAACCAGAACCTTGCACCTAAAGCTGCTATATCTGCGTATATCAGCTGATATATATATATATCATATACATACCTATATGTACACATAGATATTTGTATATATAAAGTATGAATTTGTATGTATAGAATACAAAAATATCTACACCCCTCTGTGGACATCACCCAATTTGTTCCCCTAAAGACACACGAATGAACTCGAATGGGCAGCACTGGAAATGGGGCCACAGCATTTCCCTTGCAAACACCTGCAGTCCAGCACTGGGAGCTTATTTTTTTTTTTAATCTGTGTTTATTTTGTACTTTGTATTTATGCCAACAGGTTTGGGGCATTTTTTTTTTGTTAACATTTCTGCATTCCCAGAAAATTAAAATAGACCGAGACAATCAATTTTGCCTTTTATGTTCATCTATAGTCACTTTTGAATCAATTGCACTTTCTTAATCTGTTTAGAGGCATTCACCAGTAGATACACATTACTTTTAAATTAAGCACAAAGGTAGCCAGAAGCCTGCTCCAGAACCTGCTACAATCAATTGTCTTTCCACTGACTTGGGAAGGCAGCGGTCCAAGCTGTAAATAAAAAACACTCCTTGGCGAGCAGCAAGCCACCGAGGAGTCATTCCTACGACTCGGGCTTTTGCTGAAGTCCTCTGCCACGTGCAGAGGGACGACAGGACAGGAACACACCTGCAGAGGTGAAGATATTTGTGGCCGTGCTGCTTCGGTTATCAAATGGCACTTTGCTCGTGGTGGCAGGTAGCAAAAGGCACGCTGAGCAGTGCGATGTGCATGAATCCAGGCAGGGACTGCAGGAATCCAGGCAGGGACCTTTCATAAACTTTGAGTATTTTGCAAGAAAACCACCTTCCAATTTGTTGGTATTCACGGGGACGTCAGACACTTGGGAGAAAGACCTGTCCATGTCCCCTGAATTGTTTTTAATTGTTTTTAAAAAAGCAGTCCCCTGGATTGTTTTTAATTCACAGCCCCAACAAAGACGGAGCTAGCAGCCTGGCTTAATTGAGAAAGCACCTGATTGCCCTGAAAGGCACCACAAGCACAGCTGAACTCAACTATTTCACATTTGCATCTTCCCATCGGAACAATTTTGTCTACCTTTTAATCTCAAAAGCAAAAGAACTTAAAATCAGTTAAAATTCATGAAAGCAGGATCTTTTTAACCCATGGCACTCAGCACCAGATGAAACTTGCACTGGAAGCACTGCATGGTTTGGCCTGTGCTGGATCTTATCAACCGAACCCTATTTAATGATCCCTAATAAACTATCAGTTATTAACACACATTTAAGAGCTCACTGGGGGCCTCCCAAAGTTGAGAACAAGGCTTTACATTCGCCAGATTTTCCCTCTTCCCAGCCTGATCACACGCACCACGTGAAGAGCTCCCAGCCCCTTGGGAGCATGCACATGAGGAGAAGGAAAAAACTTTCAGGCAGTTACAAAAAAAAAACAAAAACCACACTCTTTGAGCCCAATAATCAAGGCAGGATTTAACTAAAACCCACGAAATGATGCTGAGTTCCTTGGAGCCCCCTTTAGTAGGGGCAGGTGACTGCTGAAGACGACTCCCAGCCGGCACTCGAAGCTCCCCCCGTTAAATAACTCCGTTTTCAACCAAACGAGAACAGAACAGAGCGAGCATCATTTATCCACGCCTTAATTAGCCCGGCCAGAGAGTAAAACCCCCCTGCAATCCTCCAAAGCTACTGCAAGGGTGAGTGCTGGGGGCAGAGCAGAGCTGCCTCCCACAGTTAGGATCCCCTCCCCTTCGCACCATTAATTTTGTGGGTTATGGTACCAGCTAACGCAACGCAGCTGGAGCCTAAAACCCGCTCTCCCCTGCGCCCCCCCAGCCGGTCCTGCGTCAGCCCAGCCCTCCAGGCACTCACCACTTCACCCTGCTGGGGTCTTCTGACAGCAGTGACTGCTGGCACTGCCTCGCTTACAGCACTGGCCGGGCGGGGGGGTTGGCTTGGTATTGAAAAATCACAGGCGAGGAGATTTCCTTTCCCCGGGAAAAAAATCAGAGGGGTACCAACATGCAATTTAAAAGTATCGATAAGTCAAATAATGGAGAGATGCAGCTACAATTAAAAAAAAAAAAAGGAAAGAAAATGATGCTGGACCCGTGGAAGGTTTCCTGAGTGGAGAAGCCCAGAAGCCTGCTTGCTCTGCCCTGAAAGCAAGGGACCATATGAAATAGGGGGGAAAAAAAAATAAAATAGTAGTGGGATTTCTTCCCTTTCAGAGAGCAGGGGAAAATTCCGCTCCGTGTGGCTAGGAGAGGTCAGGAGTTACAAAATGCAATTTTTTTCCCCCCACTCGGCCATCCCACCCCCTCGCAGCTCTCCCCTGGAGCCACGCGCTCCCAGCCAAGAATAGCAGGGGCGAGCTCTTGCACAAGAGCCCTGGGAGAGCT